AAAAAAAAAAAAAAAAAACTATTATTATCAGGATTTTTTGCCTTATTTTCCAGAAATATCTACACATAAATGTACTTGAGAAGCAAAATTGCAAGATATTAAAATTAAAAAAAGGGATAAAATCTGGAGTTTTTTTATAGCATAAACCTCACTATTTAAATTCAAATTTGTCTTGTTTTAAGGATGTTTAGATATTTTACTGGAAAACAAGACTGAGATATCAGAGATATTAATATTAATGAATAGATGTATTAATTTACTTTAAAAAAATATTTTTCACAAACTTTTGAACGTTAGTGTATCATGGTTTCCACAAAAAATTATATTTATATAATCTAATAATTAAAAAAATGATATATTACATAATACCATTATTATATTATTTACATTATATAATATTTCTATAAAATATTACATAAAATATTTTGATCAAATAAATGCAGCATTGATAAGAAAAAAATCATAATTATTCTTTTAACCAGTAATATAAATATAAATAAATCTATATTTAAAAAAAAAAATCAATACATTTTTGCAAGATTTATGCTTAAAACAACAACAAAAAAAAAAAAAAAAAAAAAAAAAAAAAAAAATATATATATATATATTTTGAAGAATGTATCAGGTTTTTTTAATTGTCCACAAAATGAAAGTCAATAGAATCCAATGTTGTCTTGTCATTTGCGCCGTGGACACAAAAGCTAAAACATTCTTCAAAATATCTTCTCTTATGTTCTACAGAAGAAAGAAAGTCATACAGATTTTGGAATGACATGAAGGTGAGTAAATGAAGACAATTTTCATGTTTGGGTGAACAAGGAACAACAGCATCCAAAACACAACATACATTAGGCTAGTTATTAACAGGGAAGAAGAATGATTGGCTGAATTGTGTGTAATCTTTACAGTTGCCTGTTTTTTGTTCATTCATTTTCATCGTAACCGTAAATTCAAGCACATCCTTGCATTTTGTGATAACAAGTGTGTGACATGCTTTGGCGCCAAATACCGTTTAGAGCTATTACCCTCGAAAGCCATTTTTATTAACGAGTCTACAAATCTCAGCTGCCTCTGTGTAATTGATCGCGTTAACTTGCTTTAAACAGAATGAGTTTCTAATTATTCAAAACTTCAGATGTAATTAATGTTTAAATGAAACTCGCCTGCGTCCTGTCAGGTGAAGTGACGCTCCACGGCTGCTCCGTGTCACAGCCCGGGAGTTCATTCCCTGCCGACCGCTGTTTAATTCCGAGTGCACTGTCTGGATAATGGCCTGTAATTGGTTGGTTTTAGCATGGAGATGAAAACCACAGTGAGAGCGAGCCTCTCAGCTCTTTTTTATTCAGAAAGCATCCATCAGTTCAGCTATCGCTCTCTTTTCGGTGTCTGAAATATCGCAAACCATGTTTCTAAATGCACTGTTTTTCATTTTTCAGGTCAATTAAAGTGGAGGTGTACGACTGGGACAGAGATGGCAGGTAGAGAAACACGCACGTTTGTTTTTTTCCACACTACACATTTATGTAATATATTCTCCTATGTATGCATTTGGTACACCCTACACAAAGGCACTTTATTTTTTCAAATCATATTTTTTCCTTGATAACGTAGTGGCAAAATTTCCCTCTAGCTTTCTGCAGTGCTGTCAACTCTGCTGTAAAATGCTTGGCAGTAACAAATACTGATCACTCCAGATCTCATAAAAAAAGTTCAAATCCATCTATCTTCATCATCACAGACCGTAAGAGTCTCATTGTTGTTCTTTGTACTTCAGTCATGATTTTATCGGGGCGTTCACCACCAGCTACAGAGAGCTCTCTCGTGGTCAGAGTCAGTTCAACGTGTACGAGGTGAGTTCATTGAAGCAGATACTGATCCATTGATCATCAGAGGCTTTATTGTATATGGATAAAGGAGTGATTCTAGATTCATGAATTTATGATGTCAGAGAAGAAATAAAAATGTTTGTGTATGAAAGCTTATCTTTGGAAAAAAGAGAGAGACTGTGAGAGTTTGAACATCACCTTGATATTCAGTGTTTTTTCACCAATAAGTTTTAAAATGTATATAATATGTTTATGTAAAAAAAAATGTACATAATTTGTATGTATGTATATATATATATATACTGTATGTATATATGTGTGACCCTGGACCACAAAATGAAATAGAAAGATTTATGTATCATCTGAATACATATGACTGGTTTTGTGGTCCAGGGTCTCACACACACACACACACACACACACACACACACACACACAGAGCTGGATTACATGATGAAAACTGTAGTTAGTAATGTAATCTACTCATTTTAGGTAATGTATTCTGACTACTTTTTAGACAACTACTACTACTACTACTACTATTATTATTATGTTTTGTTATAATGTTGATATTATTTTATATAATATTAATAATACTGCAATAATATTGTTTTAATGCTGTGCCGTCTAAACCGACAACTTGGACCAGCCATGTTGGAGCTGGTTTTAGTTAATAATGAACAAAATGTAGGAATATGTTGTACATGTATTATCTAATGTTTTATCTAAGAACTTGAGTTTTCATTTGCACTGAGATGGATTTTCTTAATATCTGTTCCATGAGAGATTCAGCAAGCAATGAAAATTGCACCATTTCAAGTATCCCTTATTTGCTCTCTGCGATTATCACATTTTGTCTGCCAGCAAGTACAGCAGCAGCAAATGAGTGTGAGAGATTGCTTTTGAAGGTTTATGGAAGAAAGCAAGAAAAAAAATAAAACAAGGAAAATGCGTCAATGCATGACAGGGTACAAAGTGTGTGTTTATGTGAGAAATGAGGAGAGCGTAACAGATAGCTATGTAGAGGTGAGGAGTGTGTATAAATGTGTTGTGTGTGTGTGTGTGTGT